CGGAGGTTGTTGAATAGCATTGTCATTCCTCTTGGTGCTTCCAATCCCTTGTTTGCTACAAGGTTGTGTTTTGTGTCGCGTCTTAGTCTCAACGAGCCATACTCTCTTCCTTTCGAGGTTTTGGGAGTATGACTTATTATGGGCCAGTTTGGCATTATTGTGCTGTGAAAATAATTGCTGTCAAATTTGCTGTGAAAGAAATCAGTTGTGAGATAAAGCAGTTTCGTGTTTGGTAAACTTTTTGTTAAAAGTGTTGTTGATACTGATTCTAGCATAATCAGAAAATGATTGCCACATAATCATTAAACCTAGCGCCTTTTTGAAACTAATTCTTGCATAATCAGAAAATTAAGGCACTTCATTAGCTACTTTCTCTTATAGTTTTCTCTCACATCAATTTTTAACAATAAGTGATTTTGTCATAGTTTACCAAACAAGCTGAGCTTCCCAAAATTATTTAAAATTCACTTATCACTCCAAATAAGTAATGTCAAACCGACAATATATCCATTGTAAATGCCTTTTATTTTGACCTCTTTGGACCTCCTTACTCACGAGGGTTTTCTCCTGTGCAAATGGAAGGTCCATTTCAGATGGTTGAAAAACAAACATAGATTCATAGACAACACAAAAAGATAGGCTTTGGGCATCATCTAACCTAAGGCTACAATTGAAAGCTTAAAGCTATATCATTACCATATTCAGGTTTGCAGTCTTTAAAACCCATGCAGCAACTTCAACCACACAACACAAAATAAATTAAAAAAAGAATTTTACATGCGGTCCCATTTTGATGATGAGCTATCTGTTGTCGGTCCATGGAAAAAGTTATTAACATATAAAACTAGTTTTTATTTTGTCATATTTTAGCCTGAGACCGAAATAAACTAAAGATTTCAAACAAGGAGATAATTAATCAGGTTTCTGGAAATGTATACTATACAGTATCATTGTCACATACATTAGATAGGTACGAGGATATATACTGAAAGCTTTCTGGAAAAAAGGAAATAAAAAATGAAAACAAACCTCGAGAAAATAAGTCACGTGAAGGCACGTGAGATGAGCGTAAGCCTCGCGTGCCGGCGTGCCCTGCTTTTATCCTACAGAAAATGTTGAAAAAGCCTGGGACCCACGTGAACAGCTGTCTTTGAAGCTTTTTCTGACATTGGTGTCAGTGATGTATGCCTCCTCAGACATGTGACCACCCTTTTTTTTATTAATTTAAAATTTTCTAATTATATTATAATTTTGGATTATATTAATCCCTAATAAAGACGAAGTAGCTGACGTGGATAGGTCAGGTGGGCCCCTGCCCAGATCCGTACGTGCAGTGGATCCAAGATGTCTTTTTTGCCAGTGGGTGGTCTCGTGGTAATTTATGTGGCTTGACAAATGTGCCCCCTAGAAACTGTCAAAATTCCCAAATGAAATTGCTTTGGGTTTGGGGGTCCATAGTCCAAAACCCATATGAAGACAACACACCCCCACGCCGCCCCACCTCAGTTTCCGTTACCCGCGTTTTCTACCTTATTATTTAGACAATTTTTTTCTTTCATTTTAAAAAAAATAATATATATATATATATCTTTTTTGGGGTCTAAATAATAAAAACGTTTTTAGAACCTAGTTATTGTGATCTTTTTGTTTCAGGTTTGTATTGTATATCACTTAATTTGTTCATACAATCGATATTGGAGAGGAAAAATCAAACTTACGATCTCAAGTGCAGCATGTTTGTGTTGTATATCATTTAATCTTTTTTGATACAATCGATATTGGGAGAATGGATAATCAAATCTATAATCTTAGATGCATCAAGTTCGTATTGTATATCACTTAATCATTTCCAATACAATCGATATTAGGAGAAGGGAGAATCGAACCTCTAACTTAGATGCATCAAGTTCTTATTGTATATCACTTAATCATTTTTTATACAATTTATTGAAGTAAGTGAAAAATCGAACCTGAGACATCAAATGCAAGGATAAATGATCTTAGTCACTTAAACAACAAGTTCTTTATGCATTTATTTTAACATGTGACAACTCAATAGTAAAATAAGTTCTTCTAAAAAATCAAACTATCGCTATTCAAATAATAAATTTACACCAATTAAATGTCTCATTCAATTTATAATTTGACAATATAATTATTATTTTGATCACAGTTGATTCGGTAATGGCTCATTAAGTTGACTGGTTGGTAAACCAGAGCAACAAAAAGTATCAATATAGCCACTCGAGGCTCATCATTAACTCTGAATAACTCAGTTTAATTGGCAATGTATGAACAAAAAACATGCCTTGTACTTGATACTCTTATAAATTAAAAAAAAAAAACCCCAAAAAAACAGAAGGGAAAAACACAAACGTTGATGAGTGTGAAAAACACCAATGAACACCTGAAAGTGCTCAGCTCGATCACAGTTTTAGATCTGACAGTATGAATTTCACTCATTGGTGCAAGTGTATAACTGTAAACACAAGTTTGGTTTTAGTCATATAAAACAACACAAAAGTGATTCTTTCTTTAATTTGTGTAAATTTAAAAGTAATAATGTACGACAGAAATATATAAATGTGTGGATGCATTTTGTCAAAGGGCTAGGAGGGTAGGAGGCTATGAGTAGAAGTAGGTGCCAATGGTGTTTGGAATTGAGTTGTCATGTCACTGCAGTAAATAGTGGTTGGTCAAATCAAATCCAACACATTAAAACAGAAAAAGAGGTTGAGGAGGAAGACAGCTTGGTTGGGTAAAAGAGAAATGCCCTCAACCCACCCCACCCCACCAGTTCTACTTTCTGGAGTGTTTATGCTCAACCATCTGCCCTCCACTGGTCTCTTCTTTCCCAACTTGTTTCATTGCTTGCTCCCATATTGTTTACCTCATTGCCATTTGTTCAGCTATGTTTTATTTTACTTTTTAACATAAGCGATAGTTTAAATTACAAGAGAAGGGAATAAGGGTTTCTCACACATTATTAAGATACTATAATACTAAGGTACTATAAGAGTTCGAATCTAAAACCATTTGTCTTCCCTTTTTTCACTTCTCGTTAGCCCCTTTGTCAACTACTTAATTGGTTTTCATTAGGTTTGTTTACACCATAATCAACCAAGTATATCCGGCATCAAAGCAATTAGCACCAAAAGCATCAACGCCATGACACGTGTCACCACCACAGCTACTTGTACAAAGTCCCACATCGAAATTCTATGCAAACCTCCCACTTTTACCTCCCTATAAATAGGGAATAATATCCATGTGAAATGGGACTTCTCTCCACTAACAAGAGGATCCGGGTCTCAGAGCTAAACCCTGTGGCCGAGGACTCTCTTCTAGATTCCTGGCCTGGGCATATCACTTGTCGTCTTTATATTCGGGTCCAATCCCATGTATAAATGTAATCATACACCATTATAATGAAAATATACTTCTCCGTGGACGTAACTCATTTATTAAGGGTGAACTACGTATATCTTGTCTTCTTTACATTTATCGCTTGCCCAAGTCTTCACACACAGGCTGAAGGTCCTCACCTTCACCCATCATCCATTATCACCTCCTACTCTCTAAGTTGACCTCCCAAAAAGAGCATCAACAAGGTTTGTGTAAATACTCTAAGGTTTTAGAACATGTTTCTAAGTTCCCTTTATTCTAATA